TATCTATATATAGATATATATAGATATATCTATATATATATAGATAAGGATCATAGCACAGCGGTAATACCCAGTATGACAACATGAGGGAAGCAAAATCATAATATATATATTGTAAATCAACATTTCATGACCAGACTGGAGACATTTTGAATGGGCAGGTTCAGATTTTAATTCAGTGCAATACGTTTTTGTTTTTTGAATCAATTAACTCAGATGAAACTAGACTAACCACTTAAACAATCAACTGCTGATAACCACAACATCCAGCTGTTTCTAACTTTTATTCTTGGAAATGTAAATTAATTGTGGTTAATTGATTGCTTTTTCAGTGACAATATGTATATGTGCAAATCAATCCAGGTTAAATAACTTTGAATGTGTCTGATGGACGGATAAATCAATGGTAGCTCTTTCTCAATCATAATCAAGCATGTGAGTGGTATGATTAAACTCAGTCAACACTCACTAAAGACCACTTTCAGCACTTTGAGCCATTCAAAGTTGAGAATGAGATTTCCCAGCAGGCAGTGGGGCTTGTGGCTCACACAGGCAGGAAGGAGACAATCAATATGTTTTTAGCCAAGAAACACTACAAAGAAAAGAATGCCACCCAAATCAATAGATGAGTGGAAGACGTCTGAGGTAAATCAGCTCTTTGGCCCCTTCAGTAAAGAGCGGTGTCATTAATACTCACACAATACTAAGTGCTGCTGTCTTAAACTAAATACATACCTTAAAAAAACAATACAACTCTGTTGATGCAACATCGTAAAATTCTAAACCGGTGCAAAAATTAAGATACTTTTGTACTTTTTCAAGTGAGCGGTACAAATGTTCCACCATGTTAATCCATGAGTTTTAAAAAATGTGTTCCACATGTAGGTTCAGCATGCAACATATTGTCCAATGTAAAATAATGGCAGACCGGTGAATCTTTTTATGCAACTGGTAGCTCTAAATATACATATTGAGCAATGTATCAATATATATCATCCATCACTGTGATCTAATCAGTGTTTTCTATATTGTGAAACATTATACACTTTTGCCATCATCTGACAATGATGATCGAAATGTGAAATCAACTGAGAATGAACATAATCCAGGGTTTTCCGGAGTCATCCAATATTGTATTTCTGATGAGTGGGAAGAGATAAGAGCAGAGTTCTTGGTGTGCCGGATTCCTATATGTAGGCTGAGGAGGGGTACTGTGGGTGCCACCAGTCCATGAGCTTCACACTGTGTACTGGGTCCAACACCACCTGGGCCACACCCTGATCCCCCCTCTTCTTCCACCGCTGGAGCGGCGTGTCCTGGAACACCAGACGAACACGGTGGTGCCGCATGTCTGTGCTAACGTTGATTGTGAACTGTAAGACAGACGGAGACAAACCAGTTGAAATTAGGAGAGGAGTTAAGGGTCTTAGTGCACCATTTCATAATCAACTAGAATTACAGCCAAGTGGTTACAGTTTACATCAGTATCACTTCATCATTTTGTCCTTTTAGAAATTTGTGTGAAATTATTATTATTATCTCACACACACACAGTACGGAAAGTATTCAGACCCCTTTAAATTTTTCACTCTTTTTTTCATTGCAGCCATTTGCTAAAATCAAAAAAGTTAATTTTATTTCTCATTAATGTACACTCAGCACCCCATCTTGACAGAAAAAAACAGAAATGTAGAAATTTTTGCAAATTTATTAAAAAAGAAAAACTGAAATATCACATGGTCATAAGTATTCAGACCCTTTGCTCAGTATTGAGTAGAAGCACCCTTTTGAGCTAGTACAGCCATGAGTCTTCTTGGGAATGATGCAACAAGTTTTTCACACTTGGATTTGGGGATCCTCTGCCATTCTTCCTTGCAGATCCTCTCCAGTTCCGTCAGGTTGGATGGTGAACAGCCATTTTCAGGTCTCTCCAGAGATGCTCAATTGGGTTTAGGTCAGGGCTCTGGCTGGGCCAGTCAAGAATGGTCACAGAGTTGTTCCGAAGCCACTCCTTTGTTATTTTAGCTGTGTGCTTAGGGTCATTGTCTTGTTGGAAGGGGAACCTTCGGCCCAGTCTGAGGTCCAGAGCACTCTGGAAGAGGTTTTCTTCCAGGATATCTCTGTACATGGCCGCATTCATCTTTCCTTCAATTGCAACCAGTCGTCCTGTCCCTGCAGCTGAAAAACACCCCCATAGCATGATGCTGCCACCACCATGTTTCACTGTTGGGATTGTATTGGGCAGGTGATGAGCAGTGCCTGGTTTTCTCCACACATACCGCTTAGAATTAACGCCAAAAAGTTCAATCTTGGTCTCATCAGACCAGAGAATCTTATTTCTCATAGTCTGGGAGTCCTTCATGTGATTTTTGGCAAACTCTATGCGGGCTTTCATATGTCTTGCACTGAGGAGAGGCTTCCGTCGGGCCACTCTGCCATAAAGCCCCGACTGGTGGAGGGCTGCAGTGATAGTTGACTTTGTGGAACTTTCCCCCCATCTCCCTACTGCATCTCTGGAGCTCAGCCACAGTGATCTTTGGGTTCTTCTTTACCTCTCTCACCAAGGCTCTTCTTCCACGATTGCTCAGTTTGGCTGGACGGCCAGGTCTAGGAAGAGTTCTGGTCGTCCCAAACTTCTTCCATTTAAGGATTATGGAGGCCACTGTGCTCTTAGGAACCTTGAGTGCTGCAGAAATTCTTTTGTAACCTTGGCCAGATCTGTGCCTTGCCACAATTCTGTCTCTGAGCTCCTTGGGCAGTTCCTTCGACCTCATGATTCTCATTTGCTCTGACATGCACTGTGAGCTGTAAGGTCTTATATAGACAGGTATGTGCCTTTCCTAATCAAGTCCAATCAGTTTAATTAAACACAGCTGGACTCCAATGAAGGAGTAGAACCATCTCAAGGAGGATCAGAAGAAATGGACAGCATGTGAGTTAAATATGAGTGTCACAGCAAAGGGTCTGAATACTTATGACCATGTGATATTTCAGTTTTTCTTTTTTAATAAATTTGCAAAAATTTCTACATTTCTGTTTTTTTCTGTCAAGATGGGGTGCTGAGTAATTAATTAATTAATTAGTGATTAATGAGAAATAAAATGAACTTTTTTGATTTTAGCAAATGGCTGCAATGAAACAAAGAGTGAAAAATTTAAAGGGGTCTGAATACTTTCCGTACCCACTGTATGTATGTGTGTATATATATATATATATATATATACATAAAATTGTTAGCATATAATCACAAACACGTTGCTAGTGGGTGGGGAAAATCTGGATATTTCTTGACGTGATTCACTTAAAACCATCTCTTTTCATTCATTCAGCTTTCATGCGACGGTGATAAACACCTAGAAACTCTTATAGACTGTAACTCATACAAAACTAATGTCCTCCGTAGGTGTCATTGCTACCAACAGAGCTCTCTCCACCATATAAAGTAGTACCTAATATCCACCAAAAACCAAGCGTTACTAACCAGGGACAGTGTCATGCCCATGACCACGGGGGTGAAGATGAAGTTGAGGGTGGTGACCTGAAGCATGTAGCAGTCAGAGTCTGGGTTCGTGTGGACATCTTCGTATTGTCTGGGCATGCACAAGGACTTGGCACAACCATTCTTACTGTGTCTCTGCTGGGAAGGAAATGGCCACAATAACACGCAAAAGTAAATATGACAGCAACACCCGGTTATTACTAACAATGTAAAAGGTTATCATATTAGGAAAGAAGTGTAGTTGGTTTTATACAAACCCTTACCTGCTTTAGAAACTTGAAGTTGAACTCCCACAATGCCTCAGGCCGAGTACCCGACACCTTTCTGACCCAGAACAGTAAACACTGCAACAGGAAATATTGAGCACATAAAAACCAACAGTTCCATAATGAAAGGCTAGTTTAAGTTTGGACATGCATGCGTGTGTTTCTTCCTGGAGTAAAATATAAAAATGAGATAAAACACGAGACAAAATTAGATGTGTCAAGACTATATAAAGGGCCTCTATCATGGCTCCCTTTGAGCTACCTGGCAGGCTGGTTGTGGATAGCCTCGATATCACATCAGCAGGCTTGGTTAGCTCTAAGTTTTCCTATTTAGTCATTGGTTAATTTGCATAAAAAGGCCGGACCTCTTAAACGTTTAAGCTAATAACTTGCAATGCTAACACATCGTAAACAAAATAAATACAAAACTTAAGCTCCACATCCGTAAAGTTAGGTGGCTGAATACACATCAAAGTATTTACCTTGGAGTTCAGCACGGTTGTGGGCGTGGATTCTGGCAGGGCAGGAATTTTTGAGACACGCAGGCTGAATGGCTCATACAAATGGAAAAGGGAGCGAATCACACGGGCACGTAAAGAGCACATCCGGTCAATGCAGTCAGGCTGGAGACGGAACGGCAGGTCAGCATCAGTCTTGTAGTGCCTTGTGAGAGATGGAAGAGCGAGAAGACATGTTAGTTATACAAAGTGTCCGTTTATTGGATACGATCCTCATTTTATGGATAAATCATGAACTTTACATGTACGGTAGTTTTCACTCTGACAAATGTATTATTTTATTAAATTGATCAATGAGTAAAGTAAAAGCATGGAAGAAAGACAGGTTTTAATCTGAGCAGTATTTTTCACTTCTCCTGGCTTTGAGGAGAAAAACAGCAAATTAGTCTTTTAAGGAATACTTCAAACAACCAAAATCCCATCAAAATTAGGAGAAGAAACACATTTTTCTAGTTAACTTCACAATAATTTGTACAAAAGAATTGTTAAAATACAAGCTCTTCTTATATGTTCACTATTGACTGCACATAGTTGATCAATAAAAACCACCTCACCTTCTGTAGAGCCTGGTCCAAAAAGCAGCGGTGCATGTGACCGTCCAGGCATTCCTACAGATTAGAGCAAATCTGCACACGTCCTCGGGCCGGATATAGGAGGCGAGCATTAACCAAATATCCACTGGGTACTCCCCCCCATCACCGCTCTCAATGCTTTCTGTGAAAACATGCAAACATCACAGTTAACTGGTCAGTCCTCAATGTTATGACTGATTCCTCCATGTGCATTACAGATTTTTACACAAATAATACCCTTTCTCCTCTTGTTTTTCTTCTTGTGGGCCACTTTAGCATCATTTTCTCCATCCTCTTCTGGTTCTAGGTCATCGCTGCTGTCCAGAGCGTCAGCTGTGACGCTCTGTGAAGACAAGAGGACTTCCTCCACATCACCCTGAGAGGCCTCCAGGCCACAGAGTAATTTCACTGAAAACACAGTTATGTTATGTTAGACATTTAAATTATCTGGCCAAATGACACTGTAAAGTCAAATCATTAATATGCCGAATTGTCAGGCTGTGACGCTACAACATTAAATGTTACCTTCTTTCTCAACTGCATTTGCAACAGCCTTTTTCAACCTCCCCGACTTCACAATGGCTGGGTCGGCATCAGCATAATCAGCAACGGTCACTGGGAAAAAAAACAGATATATTTTCTAATATTTACACACCGTCTAGAAGCCATGTCTTTCAAATAGCAGAACCAGCTATGACCACTAGTCAGGAGGCCAATTGTTGACGTTGACGTAGCTACCTTTTAGCGCTTGCTAATACCAGAAACCAATCACTAAAAGGCCACCGTAGTAAGTACTCACTTTAGCTATACTGTAGTATACGTAGTAGTCAAATAATTAAATGTTGAGTGCTAACAGCTGACGGGCGCCATTCATGAATGTATGGGCTAGGCACCGTTAGCTAACCGCCGGCCGGCTATTGTAAAAGTAACGTTACCTGATTCCGAACAAACGTCCCCAGCTCTAAATTTCAGCCGTTTTCGGTTCCCTTTCTTGGGCATGTCGACACGAATGATCTGCGAACGCTTAACGGGCCTGTGGCTCCTGCCATGTCTTTATGGCAAGCTGAAGTAGAGAGAAAGAAAGAAAAATGAGAAAGAAATTGAAAAATGTTCCCCCAGGATCTTCAGCCATCATGGAATGACGTGACGATGCACGTAACGCGAGAGTATCGTTGTCGTTTTCACCCTCTGCTGCTTTACTGCCCTCTGCTGGTCATTGCGATGATTTCTCGTGACCTAAAGTGTAGAAAATAAGGTTTGTTCCTTTGTTTTTACAGCCAATTACGTAGAAATTGAGTCAGTGAAGTATTTGGCTGATGTTTTTTTTTATTTTTTGGAGGAACAGTAACACGATCTGAAGCAGCTGGGCTTCTTTTCAGCATGCTTTATGAATATCTAAGCCAAAGAAAAAATAAGATAAACCTTTGTTGATCGTTGATGGTGAAAATAGATGTTACTTTTATTTCTCGATTTCAGTTTTAATAACATCTGCATATCTATATCTTTATATATTAGTGCATTTGATATTGTCTCAAATAGGCTACTATCTGTTTAATATGTAACACAAACACACACACACACACACACACACACACACGCACACACACACGCACACACACACACGCGAAAAGCACTTGCTCAGGGGATTCATGGCTTCACTAAGGAGCCATGAGATTGTTCCTGTGTTACTCGTTTCATCTGCCCATCCACATATTACTCAACAGCAGTATCAGAAAGTGAATGAAAGTACAGATACTTTATGACTCTGCCTCTCATAAGGTTTCTAATGTACACCATCAAAGCACACCAGACATCACTGAGCCAGGTAGAAGGAAGACATTGGCAGAAACCACTTATTGCTATCAGACCCAAGAGTCACAATGCTGAAAAGATCCACAGTGCTGTGTTCATTGACCTATGTAAATATTTTGTGAAAGTGCTGCAGGCCACAGCATCCCAAAATGGCTGTTGACAACATTGTTGTCAAAGCCTTTAAAACTCAACTGCAGAGAGCCACATCTCCTAGAGTAAAATCTATGAAACAAAGCTAAATTAGTTTAAATTTTGTCATTCAGAGAAGATGAAAAAAATCCCTGACAATAGCCATCACAGTAACTGACTTGTGTTCTCCACCTTTAGAGATGTATCAGATGAGTTTTCAGGAGAAATCAGGTTCTTCTCATTTGTAGCCAGAGCTTTCATCAAGCCCTTCACAATCTGCATCTCAGGTGCGTAGCAGTAGTTTCCTCTTATAAACAGCTTTTGTGACAATAACAAGATCGATTCTCATTGTTATACTCATCCAATCTACAACTACACCGAGTAGGTCAGCCATTAAAATCACATCTCACTTGCTGACAGCCCTTCAGTAATTTGGGGTAAAGCTGTTATAAACTCCATGCAAAAAACCCTCTTATCTCTACACATAACAATTTATATCCGTTATCTAAAATGCAAAACAGAATCCTTTGTAATTAAAGGAAAGACATAATTTCAATCTAAACTGCATTAAGTACAATTTTGAGGTATCTCAAAAAGTAAAAGCCAAAACTTTGCAAGCTTCAACATTGAAATAATGTAATGTATCAGTAATTACAATTCAGTAATATGTTTAGAGTATATTAATGATGTTTAGCCTAATCTTTAAAGCTTCTATCTAAACTTAAAAGGTGAAATACAATTGAGTGGAGACTTTTAAACTCAAGTTGTGATCATCTCCCACTGAGTATGTGAATACATGAATAATCCTTATTTACTCATATTAAAAAGGTAATATAAATTGATAGAAAAAGTCATTTTAAATTACATCGTCTATATTGGCACATATGAGAAAATTAATACATAATTGAAGGAACTAGTGATGTGCAATACTTTATGGGTTCAGACCTCTTTCATAATCAGAAAATAATTATCGGATGGTGAAACACTTCTTCCAACAAGCTCTTGTTTAATTTAATTTGTCTTCGGTTGGCAAATTATTTCTTTTATCTTTCCATGACAAATGAACTTTACGTATTTTTTTTAATTGATTGAATTTTTACCCTAATAATGACATCCACTTCACACTTCACAGCAGCCAAATCCCTGCAGAATTTTGTCAGAGCAGTATTTAAATACAAATCTGATCATAGTGGTCATGAATTGTGGACTGTTTTTAATGTTTCAATCAATGTTCTTAATTGTTTTTAAATCTCCTTTTCTTTTGCCTTATGTTTTGATGTTTTTAGTGGTTTTATGTGAAGCACTTTGAATTGCCTTGTTGAAATGTGCAATACAAATAAACTTGCCTTGCCGTGCCCTTTTTACCATTTAAAGTGCAACACAATTATTCAAATATGCTGAGTCAAAAAACAATCTTAAAGGAAGATATAGCTCAGTATATGTATTTTATATACATTATCAGACAGTTCACTCATTGGATTAAAAAAAGAGCAACATGTGCATGCAGCCCTGCCTGCCCCTATCTCCCTGTGTGACTCCCCCGTCTACGCTGTGAAATCCTTCTGCTTCCTGGGCTCCACCATAACCCACAACCTCAAGTGGGACCTTAATATCAGCTCCATCACCAAGAAGGCTCAGCGGAGGATGTACTTCCTGAGGCAGCTAAAGAAGTTCAACCTGACAAAGACAATGATGGTGCACTTCTACACTGCCATCATTGATTCCATCCTCTGCTCCTCCATCAGCGTCTGCTACGCTGCATCCACAGCCAAGGACAAGGGCAGACTGCAGCGCAGCATTCGCTCTGCTGAGAGAGTGATTGGCTGCAATCTGCCGTCCCTCCAAGACTTGTTCGCTTCCAGGACCATGAAGGGGGCGAGAAAGATTGTAGCCGACACCTCTCACCCTGGACAGAGACTGTTCGAATCCCTTCCCTCTGGAAGAAGGCTGCGGTCCATCAGGACCAAGACCTCACCCCACAAGAACAGTTTCTTCCCGTCTGCAGTTGGGTTCATCAACAAAGCACCCCACTGACTCTGACTCTTACATCCTCAGGACAATTTTAATATACTTGTTTTAACGTACTGTTATCTGTTTACCATATTTTATTGTAAATTTTAATATTTTTCTATTTTTAAATGATTCGATTATTGCACTGTGCTGTTCATTGTTTATTGTTATGCACCATTCACCAAGTTAAATTCCTTGTGGGTGCAACATACTTGGCAATAAACGGTTCTAATGCGGATGTCTGCGAGCAATTACATTACTGCAAAGAAGACAAAGTCCTAAACACTACAACATAAACAACAACAAAGAGGTAGCGCTTGACCACTGGCAGTGTATGGTTGCTGTAGGCCTAGCCTTCAGGTGCTGTGGAATGGATGGCAACCAAACAATTTAGTGAGACTCATTGTTAGTCACTCAGGGCAAGACACAGCCAAAACAGTGCAAGGAGACGCCTGTTAATATGTATAATCTTAAACTTCGTTTTAGATCCTGCAGGGTGCGCTGCTCACTCTTAGTGCACAGCCTGCCTCTGTGGCTTGGTTAAACTGATGCTGCGAGAACGCGCATCGTGTCTCAGTAGCTGTTGTGTCGTGAACGCGCTTAGTGGTGCTGATGTGAAAAGTTAATTACATTTTACCAGTTAAGGGTCAAGTCTGTGAAAACTGCAGAAGCATGATACCAGTACAGAGTTTAGAAATGATGCTGTGACATTAGTGACCGTACTGCAGTCCTCCGTTTTGCACGCGCATGTGGTGCCAAACGCTTAGCCCTATAGGTTAAACGCTGCGAGTTGGTCCCTTATTTCCAGAGCTGTAGCTTAGTGTTGACAACTGCAGATTCCCCTGTGTCTGTGTGTGTGTGTGTGTGTGGCTGAGTAAATGTGTGTGTCTATATGTGGGAGGAGTGAGCGTCGGTTCGGTGGCGGTGTGTGGAGAGATGGAAGCGGAGAAGGCGGATGCAGATAAGACTCGCTCTCACTGTCCCCAAGTCTAAGGACGCAGATTAAACGTTTCCTCTCGGATATTTTTCCTTCTTTTTTTTTTTTTTTACATTTTTCTGCCAATATGCTATGATCTCCGTCGTGCTCGCGGGCACCACCCATCCAAACGTACCCGTCTATCTCTGAGCTGTCAATCAAATCACGCCGGGATTTCTACATGTGAGTGCATGGCGCGCCGGGCAGGGCGGATCTGCTCACGGGGTGAAAAAACGCCGCTTAATATGGATGAAAGGTCAACCATCATCTCATCGTTTCAATCACTCTGATTAGGTAAGGCGATGTAAGGATGCACGTTTGATGCACGAGGAATGTAATGCAAAGAGAGTAAGACGCGCATCTACGATTGCATTGGTGGTCCGTTGCTACGGGGCGTTAAAAGGCCCTCTTCTCAGTTACTGTAAGTCTGTTTATCAGGTTTATAACCCACATATATCACATTTTTAATCCCGACAGCGACACTGTCCTATAGCGTTGCCCAGACCACAGAGCTGGGAAGATGATGTGCGAGGTGATGCCGACCATTAACGAGGGAGACTCGGCTGGTCCTCCCAGAGGCACCAGCGGCGTCCCGAACGGCTCGGACCAGGAGGCCAACTTCGAGCAGCTGATGGTCAACATGCTGGACGAGAGGGACAAGCTCCTGGAGTCCCTGAGGGAGACCCAGGAGACCCTCATTCAGTCTCAGACTAAGCTGCAGGGGGCGCTGCACGAGAGGGACGTGCTCCAGCGGCAGATCAACGCCACGCTGCCTCAGGTGAGGAGGGTGGTGGTGTGGGATGAGACGGATTACATTTTGCACAAGACAGCAACAACCGCAAGGTACAAAGGTGGTGTTGAATGGACACATGTCTACACTGTGGGCCAGTCAGTGGTGATCTTGAAACCTCCAACTAGCAAAGCTCCACTGTTTTGTGCTAATGTAACTGAACACTTGATTGGGAATATGCACCAAATGGCCTTAAAATGGCATCAAGGTGGACCCTGCTTTACCTGATCTGTGTCAAAATCTAATATTAAGACCTTGCTTATTTCAGTATTGTGCTTAACTGTTGCCTATACCAGCCAGGTAATGTTATAGCACACAAAATACATACGGATTGCTCAGAAAGTGGGAGGCTAATAGGGGCTAAGCATCTTATTTTGCCTCGAGGCTAATTAGCAGGTTAATGCGGCCATGGTGGTACTGATGAAATTAAACTATTCCTTGAAAAAAGTGCCTTTGGTCCCACCGCTATAGAGCTAGACCTGAGGAAGTTGAATACGACTGTTCTCGAGGTATACTCCTGTTAAGAAATCCCCATAAGAATAGCTGTGAGGATGATGGCACATGCCACTTCAGAAGCTTTTAAGTGGCAGTGTGCCAAAAAGGAGGATCTAAATGTCTAGTGGGTAGAGAGTTAATGTAGTAGGTTGAAAGATGGATCGGAGGTGGATGGAGGGTTTTTACTCACACAAGGAAGAATGCTGGCTCAGACTGTGGAGGTCTCAGCCAGTTGTCGAGAGCCTTGCTGGTCAGAGAAGAGGGCAGGGCCCACCTATCATCATCTGGATTGAAACAGCCTCACATCTGTATGCGGTGAGCTGCCTGTCAGTAGTAATGTGAGTGAAAGGTGCTGATGGTAAACTGGGATATCTTTGACATTTGTCACCCATGTGTGTGCGTGCAAGTGTGTGTATTTGAGAAAAAGAGAGCTGAATAAGGGCTGGTGCAATCGCTGAGCATGACGACAATGAAGCCTCAGCACATAAAGCTGCGTTACCCTCTGACCCTCTGGTCTAAATGCGTGGCATGATGTCACAGTACGGTGTGTGGGTATGTGTGTGTGTGTGTGTGTGTGTGTGTGAGAGAGAGAGCGAGGGAGAGAACCATGCTGACGATGACAGCCTCACTGCAGCCTCTTGTGAAAGAAACATGGCCGCTTACTAGTGTACATGGCCCTGAGCTGCTTGCCTCCACACATGCATACATGTCTATTTGTGTGTGTGTGTGTGTGTGAATATATGTATGTGTGTCAGAGAGAGAAAGAGAGAGGGCGATAGAGGAGAGAGTGGGAAGAGGCTGTCATGCTTGTTTTCTAATCCTGCTTGGTTCAGCGTAATGTTTTATTCTAGCAATAATACAAGTATTAGTTATACAGTCATAGACCTCAGGGACATTATGCAGACATTATGACTGGCGCGTACATGCATAAACTGTTTCCTGCTCTCTCTCACACACTCTCTCTCTCAAAACATTACACACACTCGTGCACCATACACAGCAGTGGTCATTTCCACAGCAGACACAGCAGAGACATGATGCAACGGACAGTGGGTGAAGCAATCCAGAGAAATGAGAAATTCTCATTTGCAATTGATTTCTACTCTAGTTTTTGTCTGCTCAACTGAAGAAATATGAGGATAGTCTGGCCTTGATGCATCATTGGAAATTGCAGCGTGCATCTTCTCACGATGAGAGGGAAGTGTGGAAAAGAATGACATACTGTATCTGGTATCTCAAGTTTTGGTGTGATGAATGCATTAGAGCCATGTTGTAGCAGTTGGCGATGCTGCTGACCCCACCATCCTATATGTGTCAGTGGTAATTAGGCTGATTCGCGGCTGCGCTCAACACACAGTAGTTGGTGTGTTTATGCCCTTGACTACAATGCAACATCACAGCTATCCGTTTGCTCTTGCCGCCTTTGTTGTGTAGCCCTCCAGTCAGTCTGTCGACATGTGTGTTGACGACTATGCGAGATGTATTTCTCTCTGTGTTCGTTCAGTTCTCTCTGCTCCCAAGGTGTAGACTGATGTATGAGTGTTGGCACAGCAAGGCAGCCTTTTTTGCCCAAATCCAACCACTCTTCTCCTTCCGTTTGCCTACAAACATTTGTCATCTTCACCTACAAGGTGTGTGTGTGTGTGTGTGTGTGTGTGTGTGTGTGTGTATTTCTGTTTTTGTTATGTCTTCTGTAGGTCTCCTGAATCCATGGGACTGGTCCGACCCAGAACTGTCAGATCTATGTCTTTCCTTCACATATACATATATAAACACACACACACACACACACACACACACACACACACACCACACACACAAACAAACAAACGTACAAACAAACTTAGTGATTCAAAATGCAACGCTCTTCAATGTCGTCATTGTTAAAAATACATAAACCCGCATCAGTGCTCAAATTTGCCTCAGCAGCATCGTAAAAATGGGACGACGTTGCCATTTTACCACAGACACACACACACACACACACACCGAGAGACTAGGATGGATATGTTCATTAGCTACAGAGAATAGAGTTTCAGATTAACATGTCAGCCCATTACAGTGCAAAATGCTTCTAATTCAGCCCTCAGATGGGTTTGCTCAAAGACAAATTAGGTTTTAAACACACACTGAGACTCAGGCACGCATGCTTGCATGCACACACATGCTTGTGCCGTATACACACACACACACACACACACACACACACACACACACACACACACACACACACACACACACACACACAGTGCCTGTTCTCTTCTGTGTGAGAAAAACTGTTCCGACACTGTCAAGTAGAATGTGTTGTAAGGCAAGTGTGTGTGTGTGTGTGTGCAAAGCAGAGAGAGAGCAGACAGTGGGTGAACACTGTGTGTCAAACAACATTGGCATTTCTGGGTCATATATTCCTATATTACAACTATTTTCTATTGTTCAGTGTATAATATTATAACAAAGGCAGATTTTAAAAATGATTTTAAAATTAAATAATAGTTCAACATTTTGGGAAATGTGCTTATTTGGGTTTTTGCCGTGCGTTAGATGAGAAGATTGATACCACTCTCAAGTCTGTGTCATGAGCCAGGAGGTTATTAGCTCCTTTAGCATAAGGAATGGAAGCAGATGGGAAACATCTAGCATGGCTCTGTGTGTCTTTAGTTTAATCCATACAGAAAGAGAAATGTAAATATGACGAAGGCATATAGCTATTGATCACTATTTTTATTATTGTAATTATTATAGCTATTTTCGATGAATAACAGCTTAGCTTCCCGCTGGTTGCTTAGAGCACAGAATTTCCCTTAAAAGCACAAATTAAAAAATGTTCACGTCTTTTGGGGTACAGATTAAACAAACAGGATACAACGTGTTAATGACTTAAGAGTTGTTAGCTGTTTCCCTCTGCTTCCAGTCTTTATGCTAAGCTAGGTAAGTCATTATATGATATATATATTTCACATTCACGCATAAGATTGGTTTTGATTAATCTTATCAAACTCTTGGCAAAAAAGAGATCAAATATAAAACTATTCCTTCAAGGAAACCCCACCAATTTAGTTTTAAAACTATTGTTTGTGGCTCTGAATTGAGTTTTCCAAAATCTGAGAAATGATTTGATTTCTGTGAGATGACACCATAGCCCTCATGGTGGGATGTGAGTTTCATGTTGGGTTTGATGGGTGTGTGAGTGTGTGTTGTGATCAGAGACAACACTGGCTGTTTTTGCCAGCATACAAGCACACAGAGAGAAAGACACACACACACACACACACACGCACACACATCACCTCCTTTCCAAAACAACAACTCTCTGTTGTTCTGAATTCTAACCCCTTAGCCCACACTGAAACACATTTAAACATACACACCACGCACACACAATCTTTTGCATGTTGTGTTGTTTACTTGACCTCACATACTACTGACCTGTCCTTTGACTCTTGTACAGACACATGAACACAAATTAACACACACACAGATTGTGAACATGGGTGTACATTCACTAAGCCTCTATGAAGAAGTACATGTAAGGTATTCAGGGCTGCACAATATAGGAAAAAAATGACATGGCAATACATCTTTCTACGACATATACGATATAAAGAAAAGATACAGGAATTTTGACTTGAATAGCTTTATTTGGAAATAATTAATCTTTCTGAAATTATTGGGGTGATTTTTGAGTACATCTGCATAGAAATTGTTTTCAACTAGAATAATACACTGGTTGACTCACCATGACACCGTTGCCTTCATATATTATTCTCTCATCAATCCAGACTAAAGTCAATGATCTAACATGTCATGGTATTAATAACGCATGTCACTTACCCTAAAATAAGGTGGCTCGTCTGTGAATTAAGGAGAGTGGTGCCTAGAGAGGGTCCAAGAGATATTACAGATGCAACGGAGCAGCGACTTGTCACTGAAATGAGAATACCTGGTCCACCTTAATATCAGCCGACTTTAATTGAGCCTATAGGCCGAAGTTGTCGCTAACTTCGGAGCGAACCCACTTCACTTTTATCAGCAGGTGGCAAGCGAGACAGGGGAGCTTGGGTCTTGAGGAGTTGTGGTATTTATTCACCGTCGTATAGCCTAAAACTGTACACACACTGCACTGCTACGTTCACAGCTATAACGTTACTGCTTACTGCACATTGTTGCAAACACGCTCGCTCTCTCTCTCTGCCGCACACTCACTGATGCACACACTACCCGGCGGGCCACCGGGGTTGTAAAACACTGGTGGAAACCCTGCCTTGCAAGTTTTCCTTTTGTATAAAGCAGCAAAAATAGTTGTAGGACGTCCTGCGATGTGACAATTGTGCATGCGCGCATGTCGCAACGTCGATGCTGAAATGATACATCATGCAGCCCTAAACATATACCTCTGTGTTTACATGTGTGAGCCTCTCTCTCTTTCCATCTTTCTTTTTGTCTCAGGTCTAGATGTGACACTAGTTTTCATCCTTGTTGATGTTTTCTCTTCA